TTCGCGTTCATTGGCTAGATCGTTCAATGAGTCATTGAGTGCGGGCTTTAAATTTGATTGGCAGGCGGCGGGGGCAATCGAATGTGGTCAGAGGTAACTTGACACGATGAAGATAGGCTATTGTGAAGAGGTTAGTGTCAAGTTATCTCTGAAGCTCAGGGTGCTGTGCCCTGAATATCCCGAGAATTAATTACAGCTTTGGAAGTAACTGGCTCGCGCCGCCAGTAATTACACCGTTGGATATTCAGGGCACAGGGACCGTGATTACAAGATACCGCGAATAGAAAATAGATTTTTAGAAAATAGACTTTCCATGTGAACGGAGTCTTAATGAATAATAAGGCAATCAAGCCAAGGTGACCTTCATCATATATCTATTTTATATATATATATATATATATATATATATATATATATATATATATAACAGACGGACTCTCTGGTTGTGTAAAATGACTTTATTGCTACAACTAAAATTTTCACCCTGTAATAAAGGTGACATATGATTAAATAAAATGACGTACAACAAATAACTTATAATTCTATAGTTTACCTCTATGATAAGGAAATAATAAATTTGATATAGATAACTACGGTTTATAAAGGCTATAACGGCTTACCCTGATCTTATTTAAGGGCGTTTAGAAAGAGTGCTGGATATACCAATACGGCTTGGTCTGAAAACTAAAGAGTAGAAAACGATGTAATACAGTATAGTAGAGTGGAGTTGGATACGCAAAAGACAAGATAAAATATAACTAGAGTTAACTAGATGACATCCAACTTACCACATAGAAACAGACAGACGAACAGCAACTTCAGCACTATTTGAAAATACGGCGCAATGCCTTTTATAATGTGAAGTCACATGACAAAGACGCGGGAAGACAGAACAAAGGGACATAGACAAAGGAACAGACAAAGGAACAATTAGAGGGCGTCAGAGTCACATCAAGTCACAAGACAAGACGAGTGACGAGTCCATAGTTACATATATATATATATATATGCATATCCACAGTACTGGGTAACGACAATGGGACATGGGCATCAAAATTTCAACATGGCGCGGATCTTGTGGCCACGCTTTCTGCTCACATGTAAATATTATCGGGAAAATGTCGATTACCTTCAACGAGTTGGGGAAGCACATTGCGATCCTGAATCGGCAGTTAAACAGTAATGACATAAAATCATCGTCATCTGTGATTGTACGCACAGTTGACAGGATTTCCTTACACCTTGTTGTTTTATGAAAAACAGAGTGTATTTCAGATATTTAAATTCCGAAATTGAACTGTTTGTATGGATCCTGTGTATGGGAGATCATACTTTGTACTGAAGTTGAAACAATGGTAATGCAAGATAACCCCTTTTTTTTAAACCATCAAAATTTGCCACAAAGAACAATTTACTATTTACTTTGAAAAATAAATGCACAGTTCTGTATCATCATTTTGGTATGGTTAGATTTTTCAGATTTGCTTAAAAAATCTGTTGAAATGAATCCAGGGACTCTAAATGCTTGGTAGATATTGTAGTCGTCTCATTCAGTGTCTAAACATTTTAAGCTATAAGACCTCAGAGTCCTCAGAGCAATCAGGCTGTGAAAATGGGCTGGTGATTTATAAAATTAATTTTCTTTTTACTGTCTTCTATCTCCTTGCCTCTTTAGTTGTGACAATTGTCTGAGACTAGTGACTGTCGCAGACTGACATTTACCAAGTGCTGTACTTTAATGATCAGCCCTGACTTACATGGATGTCTGCTTGGTACAGTTCTATAAGATGTGGGAGTTATAGATCACATTCGAACTGAAAGCATGCATTGGCAGGTTAATCCTGTGCTTTCATTGGTTCATATAGAGAGCACTGCTTAAGTGTATACTGTCAGTCACCATGTGGAAATTCAACAGGAAAGATTTTAATAAAGAATTTGACATTGAAAGGAGATTTAATAAAGGTCATTCAGTACCTCTGCCAATGTAAGACTGCATTACCACAGATTTTAGATCGATCTATCCCTGTGGGGAGTCTCACTAAATTGCTGTCAGATTAGCCGGCTTAAATGTCTGTCTTGCCTACTAAAAGCTGTAAAGAGGTAATAAACTTTCGTGCGCGCTCGGCTGACAGCAATTAAGCGTGAAGTTAGGTCAATCCAGATGGAACCCAGTCTAAAACTGAGTATTTTAAAATCTGCATAATGGTTGGCCTGTTTGTCTTTTTGCTTAGTTGACAAGATATCACAAAAAGTTTGTCATCAATTTTCATGAAAATTTTAGGATAGGAATCATTCAGGGAAGAAAGGAGTGATCAGAAATTGAATCGATGTAGGATCTTTTCATACATTAAGTTATTTTTGTTCTCCCTTTCTGTCTCTGTAATATTATTGCAGTTATCTTTAGTTAATATGGTAATGACTCGGATCAGTTTCCCTTATACAGCGTTTTTAGTGGCAGTACACAAATTAGTTTTTTTTATCGATTTTGATGTAATATTACATAATGCTTTACAGCATAATCACCATTTAATAATATACTATAATTATCAGGGATATTCAGAAAATATGACTAGAAAAGGTCTCTAAGGCTGTATTCCCAGAGCTTTTAGATCGATCTATCCCTGCGGGAAGTCTCACTAGATTACTGTCAGATAATCCAGCTTAAAAGTCCGTTCTGCCTACTACAAGCTGTAAGGGGGTAATTTCGTGTTAGCTCGGCTGACAGCTATTTAGGCCCTTCAGGCCCATGACATTTCATAGTCACACCTTTAAAATGCCAATATGTATGAAGGTGAAAAATGTACTGGATGAGTTTATTTCCATTTTCAACAATATATTATAGGAAGTAATTCACAATAATCAGTTTCATTTTAAATGATCAACTGAAATGTTAAGATGAGAAAAATATCAGTAGAACAATTTTGAAAATTGCAAGGGATTGAATTTGACAAACTGCACAAATATGAGTTATTTCCATTTTTGACATTTTTCAATACGCAATAATAGACTTACCATCATTTTCATATAATCAACTAACAAAATTCTTAAG